GTTCCTTCCTTAACTCATTGTTCCTTAAATTTCTGTAAATTTGATGCCATATAGATAGGTATTAAAAGAACATAATGCTCAAGGCAAACCTTTTTTATTAGTTAAACTATTGTTTGGTTTTGAGAAGACTTCGGGAGATATTTTTGGTTTAAGGTTTAAAGATTATCACAGAGCAATAGTTTCAGGGGCTCATGCAGCCTCCATTGCTCCAGAAGTGTCTGGAGTTCATGAGAATTTGAAATTTCTGTTCTGCATTTACCCCCTTTCAATCAAATTGTTCTATGGAATCTTTGATTAAAATGTTCAGTAACGATAGCCAGTCACTATCCGTTACTTTTGGTTTTGTGGCATAGGAGGCAGTTGTTCATGGAGGCAGTTAGCCATACATTCTATATCCTTCTCTTGTTCTGACTCATTGTTGTTGTTCTGTTGTTCCAGGTGAATACAGATTATATAACATTTTATATGTATCAAAAGTTAAAATATAATTAAGTTGACAATTAAAAAAAAAAAGGAGCTGCAGGGAAAACACAATTTCATCCAGTGTTACTCCATAGAGGGTGACAGTTGGTAAAAATATGGAACCCTTTTCTAGTCATTGGTCATTGGAGAGATGCCAGTCAAAACCACAGTGAGATACCACTTCACAGCCACTATGATGGCTATAAAAAAAAATAATAATATGAGTTAGAAAGGATGTGGAGAAATTGGAACCCTCATCCGTTGCTTGCGGGAACACAAATAGGTATAGCCTCTGTGGACATCCTTTGGTGGTTCCTCAAAAGTTCAGCACAGAACTACCACATGAACCAGCAATCCCAATCCTAGGTGGTGGTGGTTGTTGTTGTTATGTGCCAGCGAGTCGGCCCCGACTCATAGCGACCCCTCCTTGGGTTTCCGAGGCAGTATCACTACGGAAGTAGGATTGCCCAACCTTCCTTCCGAGGAGTGGCTGGTGGGTTTGAACCGCCAGCCGTCTGGTTAGCAGGTAAGTGTCTTAGCCACTATGCTACCAGAGCTCCTAATCCTAGGTATATACCCAAAAGAATTGAAAACAGGAATGCAAACAGAAATCTGTACACCAGTGTTCATTGCAGCACTATTCACAGCAGCCAGAAGATGGAAACAACTGAATGTCCATCAACAAATGAATGGAAAAACAAAATGTGGTGTATCTATTATGGACTATTAATCACCCATAAGGAGAAATTAAGGTCTGATACATGCTACAACATGAGTAAAATAAAAGGACAAATACTATATGATCCCTGTTACATGAAACAGACAAATGTACAGAGAGCAGGGGCAGGAGGGAGGAGAAGAGAAGTCATTGCTAAGAGGGAATTGAGTTTCTGTTAATGGTAGTCAAATAATGTAAAAAAGGATAATGGCAATGGTTACACAGTATGATGAACAGAGTCAGTGGCAATGAATGTACATACGAAAATTGTTGAAGTGGAAAATGTTTTATTATATATATTTTACTGCAATTTTTTAAGAGAATAAAGTGCTGAGACATACTACAACATAGATCAACCTTAAACATTATGCTTAGTGAAAAAAGCCACATACAATAGGCCACGTATTATATGATTCCATTTTTATGAAATGTCCAGAATGGGCAAATCCAGAAACTAAAGTAAGTTAATGATTGCTAGGGGTTATGGGGAAAAGAGAATGGCGAGTGAATGTTGTTAATGAGTACAGAGTTTCTTTGTGGGGTCATGAAAATGTTATGGTATTAGATAGTGATGATGGTTTCAGAGCCTTGTGAATATGCCAAAAATCATTGAATTGTACTCTTTAAATGGCTAAGTTGTATGGTATATGGTTTATATCCCAATAAAGCTGACTCTTTTTTTTTTTTTTTGGTTGTTGGTTTTTTGTTTTGTTTTTAGGAAAGTGTCAGAAATGAAATTTTAGAATATTTTACTCTTTTTATGTTCTTCAGAAATCACTACTCAGCATTTAGAAATTATTCTTAAAGTCTGACTGCTCACATATTTGTACTGGAAAGAAATATCATGAAATGAAATAAACCATGTGTTCATTTCTGAGCTGTGGACAGTGTGAATTTAATATTACAAATTTTAATATATCACTGATTATGATTTTCAACTCCGAGTGGATTTAGCCATCTTAACCTTAACCATAAGGGTATGTAAGAGGCATCTCCGAAGGAAGGCCTGGTGATCTACTTCTGAAAGATCACAGCCATTGAAACCTTATGGAGCATAGTTCTACTCTGACATACACGGGGTCACTGAGTCAGAACTGACTCAAATGCAACTGGTTCTTGTTTTTACATAAACTCAAAAGAATGCAGGAAAAATTAAAACCTTGATTTTTGTAAAACAAACTAACATTGTCAGAAAATTCCTTCCCTTATTTAATCAGTTTATAACTAGAAGTGCCTAGTAGTTCATTTGAGAGCAAACTTAAGAGACCAGAGGATTGGTTGAATAATTTTTTAAGACGCTTTGGTGGCATAGTGCCTAAGGCATTTGACTGCTAACCAGAAGGCTGGTGGTTCAAACCCACCAGCCACTCCTCGGAAGGAAGAGTGGGCAATTTACTTCCTTAGCGAATACCGCCTTGGAAACCCAAGGAGGGATCGCTGTGAATCGGATCTGACTCGATGGCAGTGAGTTACAATTCTGATTGCCTCTTCCATCCTCTGGAAATAGAACTTTGTAAGACCTTTTGAATTGTCAGAATTTCTTTGAGGGAGGATTTAATAAGAATGCAGAAATTACAAGCTCTTTTTAAAAGGGATAGAAATTTGTAAATTTGAGTTCTGACTGGGTATTTGAAAGAATTGTATTTTTTAGGTGTTGTAATACTGTTGTGATTTTGGGTTTTTTGTTTGTTTTAGTCCTTATCTTTTAGAGATACATATTAAAATATTTACAGATGAAATTTTATGACCTGGAACTTGTTTCAGAATAATATGGGAGGGGGTAAGTGGGTAGGAGGTGTATAGATGAAACAAGATTGGCCATAAGTTGGTAATTATGGAAGCTGGGGATGGGTAGGTACATGGGGAGTGTTCATTACAGTATTCTATTTTTATATATGATTGAAGTTCTGTATAATAAAACATTTAAAAAGTAAAAAAATTATAGTTAATAAATTCTTGTATAATCAACTTAGATAGAATGTGTTGGAATTTTTTGTTTTGTTTATCTGTCAACCTTCTGTAATCAGAGAGTGTAGCCCTGAGCTTTAATTTCTGGGAGAGTATGGGGTGAATTGGGAGCTCTGGTGGCATAGTGCCTAAATCATTTGACTGTTAACCAGAAGGCTGGCAATTCAAACCCACCAGCCACTTCTTGGAAGGAAGATTGGGCAGTCTACTTCCATACTGATACTGCCTCAGAAACCCAAGGAGGGGTCACTATGAGTCGTATCCAACTTAATGGCAGTGAGTTTCGTTTCTTCTTTTTGGTGGGGTGAACCACTCTTGGCTCATTGATAACCACCTATGCCCTCACTCTTTGGTAGTCTACTTTTGTAGGTAATTGCAATGTGACTCCATCTTCCATTCTGATGATTTGGGATAAAAAGTTGAGGTATATTGGCTTTCTGAAATTTTCTATCAGATTTTGAGTATTCTTTGTAAATCAAGGAACTTAGTACTAATTTTTTTTTAACTAAATGTAATGAAAAAAAGACTAAAATCGTTTATAGATTTTTTCACAAATGAGAAGAATGTAAACTATTTTAATCTTAGTTTTTTAATATTTATTCATGAGTGAATCATTATCTTCTGCAGTCACATCATCTTCACTTGATATGGGTTAATTTTTGACCAGGTCTTCTCTTTATCAGCCCTGGTAACATAAAGAGGGAAAAGGTAGCTTGTCAGTCAGTATATCCGTATCTGCCAAAAGACAATGATCGTTTAGAGAATTGGTTGCATTTCTCAGATTTGGCTCACTGAGAAGACATGCTGTTCTTTAGATTCTTTGTATTTGCTGAATTAATGTTTGTTGATAAATACTCCTTTTTTAAAAGGGCTAAGATGGATTAGCTAACAACAGATTATACTCTGATGAAATAGATTTTACCTCATTAAAAAGGAAAAAAGTCTTGCATGGTCTTTTGGTATGCTGATTCGGTGGGGGAATCATCTGTGGTCACTTAAATTTTCAGAGTCAAAGTGATAGCCACATAGAAGTTTTAATTATCTTTCATCCCTGTTTAAGACATACGGGTGAGAGATTAGTGAACCTTCCCTACCTTCCTGTTTTTCTGTTAGTTGTAGATATGGGTTAAGCTTAAATTTTGATGAGTTTGGTGGGATTAAACCTGAGGTGAGTGACAGTCTTGGATGTTTTGTTATCTAGGACACCAATTCTTTTCTAAGATCATAATGTTCATTATGAAATGTGAGTTAAACATTTTCTCTTACAATCTCTCTTATTTTCTTCTTCCTTTTATCCTTTAGCTGGAAATCCTCTGGTCCAGCAAGGTGGACAGCCACTCATCTTGACCCAGAATCCAGCCCCAGGTTTGGGCACAATGGTTACTCAACCAGTATTGAGGCCTGTTCAGGTCATGCAGAATGCCAATCACGTGACTAGTTCCTCTGTGGCCTCACAACCAATATTCATCACTACACAGGTGAGTTTGGGCTTGGAGGTGAATTCTACATTTGGTAGAGAAGGAGGAAAAGACTATGATTTAGATAGTGTCGTTGGCATCACTCGAAGTGGTTCCTGGGTCCTGTCTTTTGACTTAGCTTTCTCACTAGCTGTTTTGTAATTTGATGCTGATGGTTGTAGAAAGCCCAGCATAGCATCATGATTTGTTAATTTTCTTGTCATACCCCTTAAAAGAACTGTTAAATGATTTGATTGAGTTCTGGGCACAAATAAATGGGAAGGCTTGTTTTAGGAGCCCTTAACACTTTGCTCTCAAAGCTTTGTCAACCTTTGAGCTGTTTTTCATAACACAGAGTGAGTTAGTTGACTTTTGGAAATACATGTATGAAATTGATAAAGTGTGTGGAGATGTTTAGAAGATAGGGAAGGTGGTGTGTGTGTGTTTGTGTGTATTTAATGTGGTATATTGAAATAAAAGGCCTAAATTTGAATGTGGAATGTAAAGGCAAATGATTCTCTTTGCCTGTGACTTCTAGTTATAAACTATTATGTTGTAAATTGCTATAAGTGCATGGCCTTTGAAGTGGACTTTGGAAACAATTTCTTATGATTACTTACATGTTGAATCATTCCAGTAAAGACTGTCAGAGCTCTGCTAGCATAATGCCTAAGGCACTTGACTGCTAACCAGAAGGCTGGCGGTTCAAACCCACCAGCCACTCCTCGGAAGGAAGATGGGGCAATCTACTTCCGTAGTGATACTGCCTCAGAAATCTAAGGAGGGGTCACTATGAGTTGGGTCCAACTTGACAGCACATAACAACAACAACATGCTTTATTATTATTATTATTTTATAAGTGAAAGCAAAGCGTTTTGTTAAAGGTAGAGAGATTCATGAATGGAAGACAGTAGCACGCAGCCAGGGTACAATAGTTATACAGATTGCAAGAAGAGGTTTTATTGAGAGAAGTAAACAAAGGACTTTGTGTTTACATGCACTAGGGTGAGTACGTGACAGAAGTTAAAAAGGGATTGTCAAACTACGATACTTCTTAACATTATCATTTCTGTTTCCTAACCTCCTAGATTTGTGTTGAACCAGTCTTCTTGGATCAAATTGCACAAACACTCTCAACAAACAACTCCTCACATAAACTAAAATCTTGACACTTGTTTCTTTTAGGTTGCAAGCAGTAAAATTGTTACAGGAAGCTAAATTGTCCTTTAGAGCAGCAGAAGCAGAGATTTTAGGCAAGCTGCAGTTAGATACAAAATGGAGTTTAATTTAGATCTGAAGCATACATTTTAGTCATGCTAACTGCCTTGGTTTACTTGTACATTCTCCCCCTTTTAATCAAATCACCACTAGGGATGCAGATCATCCACAAAAGAGTTACCCATCTTCTGCAACGATTTAATATTTCAGGGTTGGCTTCTCTATTTGAGCTTTTAAGACCTCAGAGGCCAGCTTTGTTATTAGAGATGGTCAGACACCATCAGTGTTAGATTGCTGTAGCTTTGGGTGAGTTGGTTCTCACTGGGGAAAGCGTTGTAAGCGGAGCCACATTAGGGGAACAATTTGGCATTCCAAAAGGTCTGATGCTAGAACTAAACTTCATTCTCCTTAGCAAAATTAGTTTCCTCTAAATACATGCTTCGTCATATAGCTAGATGACTCAAGGCTTGCCTGTGGCAATGGCAAATGAAGTACATAATACATTTAGCAAGCCCTATTATAACAACTGGTGGGAGCTCTGGTGCCGTAGTGCCTAAGGCATTTAACTGCTAACCAGAAGGCTGGTGGTTCAAACTCATCAGCCACTCCTCAGAAGGAGGGTTGGGCAATCTACTTCTGTAGTGATACCGCCTCAGAAACCCAAGGAGGGGTCGCTATGAGTTGGATCCGACTCTGCAGCAGTGAGTTATTATAACAATTACAGTGATTAAAAGGGGTAAGCAGGCTAGTAGAAATGGGTGTATTCCAGATCCAATACTTTGAGGCAACTAACTAAAAATATCAAAGAAGAGGAAGGTACAGTCATGGGGGGGATGGTGTGTAACCAGGGGGCCTTTTGATGTATTTTAGTAACATCTTGTTCTACATCTCCAGAATTGTTTATTCCTGAACAGCAGTAGCACAGACTGCTCCTCCCTTTGGGCTTGGAGGAAATCAAGGGCTATTATATTATCTAAAACAATTTTAGCAAGGGATTCTAAGGACTTCTGTTGAGTTGCCATTCCACCAGCAATGTTACTTACCAATTGGGCCATAGCAGATAGATTAAGAATAGATTTTTGCTCAAAGAAATGACCAAGCTTACCACCAATGGGATTATCTGAGAAGACAAGTTTTTTTTTCTGTAGAGATATTAATTCAAGTCATTGTTCCCTAGTAAACTGTCATTGTATGAATCGTTCCATAGTAAGATGTCATTGTGTGAATGGATACTCATGGGAACTCCAAGGATAACTAGGGTGCATTTGCCTCACATATTCCAGTATAGGGCCCAAGTGTAGGGTGAATCATTGGACTTTTCTCTTAAATAAGCTGATCCTGTGCAGAAAGACATATCCATATGGAGCATATAACATATCTGCCCCAGTGCTCCTATGCTTTTTAAGTTGAGGTTCACTTTCAGCAGTAATTTGGTTTTCATTTTTGCTCATGTTTACCAAAGCTTGTTCTCCAGTTTTTGTATTTTGTCATTCAAAATAAAAAAAATTTATTAGATTTCTCTGTCTCAGTCATTTAAGAGTAAATTTAATTTTAGAGAGAAACCCATTAAATAAAAGTTTGAGATTCTTTTGCATATAGGTCATGCTTCAGTCTCTGTGAGTTTCCATATTAAAGATCATTTTTCTTTCTGATGCAGGGATTTCCTGTAAGGAATGTCCGGCCTGTGCAGAATGCAATGAATCAGGTTGGGATTGTGCTGAATGTACAACAAGGCCAAACGGTTAGACCAATTACTCTAGTCCCAGGTAAGGAGAAATATCTTACACATTTGGAATAAAATGACATCCATAAGATTTGTTTTTATTGTTTCAAAATATTCTAGGTTTTTTTTTTTTTTTTTTTTTTTTTAATATGTCTAATCTTTGGCTAGGATTGTGGTTTTATTTAATATTCTTTCTAGCTTTTCTTCATGAGATAGTGAATCAGGGTTTATCCGGTTATTTTTCTGTATCTGGTGTTCATTCAGCTATTAAGTTTGTTTTCCTTAAGGAGTAGTATTGCAGCCTCCCAAGTTCTGTATTCCTTGTACTTTTCCTCACTTATGTGGTGGGATTATAAACTTTATTTTGCGTGAATTTTGTAGCATAGATTTTAACTACAAATTAAACACATGGCAATGTCATTTGTGGATAAAATATTGCCGGTGATTAGAATGTTTTATATTTTTTAAGAAAAAGAATTGAAAGATAATTTTTAAAAATCTTATGCCTCTTCCTCGGAAGGAAGATTGGACTTGCGTAGTGATACTGCCTTGGATATCCAAGGAGAGGTTGCTATGAGTCGGATCTGACTCGACGGCAGTGAGTTCGTTTTTTCTGTATACCTTCTCTTCAGTTCTTTATTTTGTGTCTGTGAATTTACTATAGTTCAGGCCTAAAAAAGTTATTTGTAAAGGTATCACTGAAGCTTGCCTTACAAGTTTTTTATTTTTGTTCTCAGATCTCTCAGAGCCTTTTTGGCCTTCAATCTGATCAGTTTACACTATCAAGTTCTGGTGTTTCTTAAATATATCTCAATGGAATTGTCTTCAGCTGAGCTGGGGGATACTCTGCGTAGGGACATCCTAATAGAATGTCATAGTCAGTTTTCTATTTGTGTTTATATGAGGACGTGAAGACTGCTTTTCTGTAGTGAGAAAGAAGAATTCCTTTTTTCAGAACCATGTCTGCCCTTTGGGTGATAAACAACTATATTGCCTCTCATTCTATACCATCCTTTCTCTTCTTTAAGTTAACTTTTGATCATATTCTTGGACTAGAAAATCAGTGTGGATAAGGTGTTTGGGGAGGAATTAATGGGAATCTTCTTCAATTTAACATTTTTAGAGCTGGTTACTTAACATTAATTATTTTGGATTAATTCATTTTATCTGCTTGGACACATTGCTTTCTTAGACTTTAGACTATATACTACTCTTGATAACCTGGTGATCACCAATTTGGGGAAAGGATCTTTTTCTATTCCAGTATTTCTAGTAAAGTCAGGGAGAATATATTACAGGTCAGCTAATTGACCGAGACTTAGTACTTTTCTTTGTCTCTCTTTTGAAGCCCCAGGTACTCAGTTTGTTAAGCCGACAGTTGGAGTCCCACAGGTGTTCTCTCAGATGACCCCAGTGAGGCCAGGCTCCACAATGCCTGTGAGGCCTACCACCAACACCTTCACCACCGTTATCCCAGCCACTCTTACCATTCGAAGCACCGTCCCACAGTCCCAGTCCCAGCAGACCAAGTCCACTCCCAGCACCTCCACCACTCCCACCGCCACACAACCGACCTCACTGGGGCAACTAGCTGTTCAGCCACCAGGCCAGTCCAACCAGACCTCGAATCCCAAACTAGGTGAGGTTTGGAAAGAAGAGATGGCAGAGCTGGGGTGGGTGATGGGTGGAGAACAGATGATTATCACTTGGCCAACATAGCTCCCTCCTTCCCCTCTCCACCTGCAGTGAGCATTGCCAGCTTCGTCACTGTCAAGCGACCTGGGGTTACAGGTGAAAATAGCAATGAAGTAGCCAAACTGGTGAATACCCTTAACACCATCCCTTCCTTGGGCCAGAGTCCTGGGCCAATGATGGTATCCAACAACAGCCCAGCTCATGCCTCTCAAAGAACCAGCGGAACTGATTCTTCAATGAAAGGTACCTGGAAGACCCTGAGCAGGCACTCACTCAAAAACATATATAAAGTATCTGTTGTATCAGAACTCTATATTATAAAGGACAGAAATAAAATAGAATATAGTTGCTACAGTTTGTTTTTATAGAAGATGTTAATGTAGGAAAAGGGGATCAAACCATTTGTGAAATGTTTACATGAATCAGGATGTGGAATTATGCCTCAGGGAGTAGTGAAATGGATTGATCAGAGATGGGTTGGATAATCAAGGATAACTTCATGGAGGAGATTTGATTTTTCGAACAAGATTTTAGAGTTGGGGTTTTATAGAGAGGTTTTCAGGTGGAGAAAAATAAGGGGATGAAGATTTTGAGTAGCCTAGAGCAGAGTTGACAGATTTTTCTGTAAAATGCCAGATAGTAAATGTTTTAGGCTTTGTGTACTAAATGGTCTGTTGCAACAATTCAGCTATGGCATCAAGGTGCAAAAGGGGCTATAGATGATACATAAATAATGAGCATGGCTGTCTTCCACTAAAACTTTGTCTATGGGTTCTGAGATTTTTATTTTTATAATTTTCATGTGCTACAAAATTTTATTCTTTTAGTTTTATTTCAATTATTTAAATATGTAAAAACCATGTTTAGTTTGTGGGCCATACAGAAACAGGTGGCTGGCTGGATTTGGCCTGCAGGCCATGGTTTGTGTACCCTGGCCTGTAGTTAAAAGAACAGTGAAGTGCTTTAAACGTGGTGATCTCTCATGCCTACTTACCCCTCGATAGACCTCTCAGGAAGTGTTTAATCTTTTTCCAGAAGGTCAGTAACCTTATTTCTGGTCGTATCTTATTAATCTTATCAATGCTTCTCACTTCTTTCAGTGACCTCTCCCATTCCAGTGTTTGATCTCCAGGATGGTGGACGGAAATCCTGTCCACGGTGTAACGCTCAATTCCGTATTACTGAAGCTTTGAGAGGTCATATGTGTGTAAGTGATCTCACCTGTGCTGAGGATCCAGCTTATGTGACTACTGCTGTATCCCTCCTTTAGTATAGGGAGCTTGTGAAGCATGGACTCTAAAATGGCTTGGAAGCTTTCTAAAGGATTATCTCTGTTTGTCTTGGTAGAGAAAAGTTATGCAGTTTGGGGTCTGATGGGACACATTTAAAAATACCCCACAGTAGATTAGAATGTATATGACCTTACTTCCTAAGCTGTGGTAGATTTTGAAACTGCATAGGAGAACAGGTGTCAAGTGTGATAGATAATAACTCAACCAAGTTGGCTTCAGTTCATTTTCTGTTTATATTATCACTGGATAAATCAGAAGCTGCTACCTAATTCCCATTTCCTAGCTTTTTTATTTTTCAGTATTAGTCCATGCGTAAAGATTGCACATTTTTCCTGCCAGAAATCTCAAAGCCAAGTTATGTTAGTGGTTAGTTTAAGGGATTCTGAGACAGGTAAGAAGGAGAAGTACAAGGTAAGGTGTTGACTAGAAAAGGAATGAAACCTGGATACACTATAGAACACTGAAGGGTGAAAACTGGGTAAGGAATACCTGAAACCATACTGTTGCCAAAGGGTATTAGTGAAGTTGGGAAGTTAGCAGAACCTTGCTCCCAGAATAATGAAAATGATCAAATGTCCTCTTTCTTTGTAGTACTGTTGCCCAGAAATGGTTGAATACTTGAAGAAAGGAAAGTCTCTGGATTCAGAACCCAGTGTCCCATCAGCAGCAAAGCCCCCATCCCCTGAAAAAACAGCTCCTGTTGCTTCCACACCCTCTTCCACACCTATTCCTGCTCTGTCACCACCTACCAAAGTACCTGAGCCAAATGAAAATGTGGGTGATGCAGTCCAGACCAAGCTTATTATGCTAGTGGATGATTTCTACTATGGACGGGATGGTGGCAAAGTAGCCCAGCTTACAAATTTCCCTAAGGTCGCCACATCTTTCCGATGCCCACATTGTACCAAAAGGCTAAAAAACAATATTCGGTAAGTGTTAAAGAGCCTTTGTGGTTGTTCCCTTGGACAAGAGAAGGCTGAACTTTCTTACATACTTCTGTCTTTGTCTTTGGAGAATTGTCTTAACTCTTCTCCAGTCTTGGTGAAGATATCATTAAATTAATAACTAGTACTGTAAACTGTAGGAGAGGAGGTATTATGGTAATATACAAAAGATAACTTTGGGTTAAGGAGGCCTAGTGGCACAAATGGTTAAGCATTAGGCTGCCAACTGAAAGGTTGGTGGTTCAAACCCACCCAGCGATACTACAGGAAAAAGATCTGGTGATCTGTTTCCATAAAGATCATAGCCCATGTGGGGCAGTTCTGCTATGTCACATGAGGCCACTATGAGTCAAAAGCGACTCTGGCACCCAATAACAATAATTTTGAGTTGAGTGAAGGACATCAGTTCATCTCTTGCCACAGAACTCTCTTAGTTTCAAGAACCTGTTACATTTCTGGCCTTAGAAAAGGACTTCCTCACATGGAGGAAGTGGTTGGGGTGGGAGATGGAGAAGGGTGAAGACTGTTTTGTGATTCTACTGTTGTATTTCTTTTTCTTTTTTTTTTTTTAAATTGTGATTTGGGTGAAGAATTACAGAGCAAATTCACTTTCCATACAGCAGTTCACATATACTTTGTCTCACGTCATTGACCACAGTTTACCACAGTGCAATAGCTCCCCTCCCACTTCCTCCCCATTGTTACCTCTTCCCAGTGTCCATCCCTCCATACACTCCTGCCCCCTGAGCTGTCTCCCTGTGCATAAGCAACCCTTCTTTCTCCCATGATTGTTCTCTACAAAGAGTGTATCTACTTGAGGTAAATGTTCAACTCATATGCCTGTATTTTGTTTGGCTGGAAACCACAGTGTGGGTTCAATTCCAGACCTGAAGGGGGCAGCTAGGGGCCATAGTCTCAGTGGTTCCACCAGGCTCTATCAGACCAGCAAACCTGGTCCCCACCTTTTTTCTTTTTTTCTCTCCAAATGATTTTGAGTTTTGTTCCACATTGTTCTCCCTCTCTATCAAGGGTCTCCTGCATAGATCCCCTTCCAAGTGGATGACAGTGGTAGCCAGGCACCATCTAGTTCTTCTGGTCTCATAGTCATATAGGCTGCAGATCGATGGTGTACCAGTCTCTAGGACTAATTGTTTCCATGAATTTTGGTTTTCTTCATTCTTCTTTGCTCTGGATGAGGAGAGACCCATTGTTGCATCTAGATGGCAGCTTGCTAGCTTTTAAGATCCCAGTCACCACTTGCCAAAGTAGGAGATGGAACAATGTTTTGTATAGTATGTTATGCCAATTGAGCTTGATGTCCCCTGCAACTATGGTCCCAAGCTCGCAGGTTCAACTACTCGGTCCCTCTGGGTAGCTGACCACAACCTTGCCCCTTGTCAGCTCTACTATACACCTGGGAATTCTGATCATTGACATAAACTTATAGGGCCATTGTCTGCCAACCCTATATATGTTCTTGGATATACTCTTCATTTCATAGACAAATCTAATCGTTTAGCCTGTCCATCCATATACCCATGTTTGGCTTCACTGACAACACATTACTGTATGTGCAAAAGGGTTCATATTTGTTGTCTGCACCTCCCATGTATCTCTCTCTGTCTTTCTCATCCTCAGTGGTGCCATATTGGTCACTCACATTTGGTACATTGACCTTCTCTTCACCCAAATCAATACTTATCTCTATCTATCTAACAGCTTTCCCTCCCCTCCTCTCCCACCCCTGGTAACCAACAAAGAAAATTTCCTTCTATAGATAAACCTTTCCTTAACTTTTACAATAACAGACTAATACAATATTTGTCTTTTTGTGATTGACTTATTTCACTCAGCATAATGTTACTGTTATATTTCATAAACACTGCTGATTTAATGTGTTTTCTGTACTTTTTTTCTTTGTGCTGCACTGTAGATTCATGAACCATATGAAACACCATGTAGAACTCGATCAGCAGAATGGTGAAGTGGATGGTCATACTATTTGCCAACACTGTTATCGCCAATTTTCCACACCATTTCAGCTCCAGTGCCACTTGGAAAATGTTCATAGTCCCTATGAATCGACTAGTAAGTTTGGAAACTCTTAAACTCTAGGGGTATGGCTTGCTTTTCACTCATTAAATAGTCCTAGTAGGACCCCAGAGCCCATTGCATTTATTTATATGTAGGTACTATTTTTATTTATATTGTAGTCCTTTTCATATTTGTAATCAGTTCCTTATTTCATATCGCCTATTTTCTTATAAGCCCTTTATTCTGTTCAGGAATGGATTGGGCCTGAATTATTAGAAACTTTGGTTTAAGACCAGTGGAGGACACAAACATGATGGATTTATCAGCTAGATCTTTTGTAAAAGGAACAGGCACCTATGTTTGGATCTCTGCTTTATAGGCTTTATATAAGATACTATTGTAAGGTACTTTGCCACTCAGAAAGTGGTTTGCATTTAACCTACTTAATTTAAATGAAATGTAAGATAAGTTACAGTGTTACCTACATTGTACATTTTACAGATGAGGGAACATAAGCTCAGAGAATTTAACTCATTTGCTTAAGAGTGAACAGCTCTAGTAAGGTGACAAAAGTGAGCATTTGTACTTAGTCTTTTCTGGAATATTTCTATTCCTTCAAAGGGTCTCCAGATTTTGTTTCTTTATTAATATTTTACTTTGTTGAAAATACACACACAGCAAAACCCACTCCCATTCAGCAGTTTCTATACATAATGATCAGTGACATTGGTTACATTCTTCAGATTATGTCAGCATTCTCATTATTTCTGTTGTAAGTTGTTTCATACTCATGGACTGAAATTGCCTGCCCTCCAACTTTCTCATCTATGCTTTAAAATAGCAATTGTCCATTTAGTCCTATATAGATAATTTTTTAAAAAAGAATGTAGTACATAAGGATTTATTTTTGGAGCTAAATGGTTACTTGGTTTAAAGGTGACTTCAGGGGGGATAGTTTTGATTCAGGGTTTGAAGAGTAACTCAGGGTAATGGTCTCAGGGACTCCTCCAGCCTCAGTAGATCCAGTAAGTCTGGATTCTTTAAGAATTTGAAGATCTGTTCCACATTTTCATCCCTTTCTGTCAGTATACATCTGTCGTGGCCCCGATCAGAATGTTTAGTAGTGGAGCCAGGCACCATCTAGTTCTGGTCTCAAAGTAGAGGAGGCAGTGGTTCCTGGAGACAGTCCTGTAGTGTGGTTACTGCTCTGATTCTTGGGTTTCCTTCTTTCTCTTGGTTCCAGACGAATAAAGACCAATGGTTGTATCTTAGATAGCCAACGCTAAGCTTTTAAGACCCCAGACACTACTCACCTTACTAGGAGACAGAACATAAACTTTAAGGACTATTACACCAATTGACTGGATTGTCCTATAAGAAGGGGTCTCATCTCCAGTTTTGTTGAGGAGACAAAAATGGTATAAATACAGAAAAATGTGAGAACAAGAGAGTGTATTGTAAATATCTGTATTGTTTGATACCAGTGACAAGTGCATTGGTTCAGAGAAGTGAAAAGATCCTTGCAGCCTGGTTTCACAGAGAAGTGAGAGTTAAACTGGGTCTTTAAATACAAGAAGGATTTTGATGGATGGGAAGTAGAAAGCTTCTAGGTAATGGAAAACAGTATGAAGAATAGCATAAAGACAAGAATAAGTATATTATCTGGATGTTTTTGCTGTAAATTAAAAACACTGACTAAAAATGAAATAATAATATCTGTCATCCTTAGACTAAGAAGTCTTCAGGTGGAATAGGCTTCAGACCTAGAACATGAGTGCCTAATTCAGCTTCTCAACAGTTCTTTTGTCCCGGCTCCTAACTTGGTGTTTGTGGTAGTCTCAGACATTACATGCAGACATAAAATTGTCCAGAGGAAAAAGAGACCATATCTTCCTGGACTTTTCCTGAATCTGGTTCTCACCAGTGAGGGAAACTTTCCCTTTATAACTCCTTGGCCAGAATTGGGGCATAGGCTCATTCCTAGACTGGTTATTGGAAAGGGGAATGAAATTGCCATGGGTGGCTTCGAGCAGTGAGATCAATAGGAATATAATGCAAGCCATGTATGTCATTTAAATATTTCTAGTAATTTTATTTTATTTAAAAATTTTTTAGTAATTTTAAATAGAGTAAAAAGAAACAGGTAAAATTAATTTTAATACTATGTTTTATTCACTGTTGATCATTTCAACATGTAACCAAAATACAAAATTACTGAAATTTTTTTGTTTATTTAAAATATACAAATTTAAAAAAATCTGGTATGTGTATTGCACTTAACAGCACTTCTCAATTTGGACTCACCACATTTCAGCTGTTCAGTAGCCACATGTGGCTGGTGGCTACTCTATTGGACAGCATAGCTTTTTATTTTTTTATATTTTATTTTTGTTATCTCTTCCCTGTGTCCATCCCTCCATGTACTCCTGCCCCCTGAGCTGTCTCCCTGTTGGACAACACAGCTTTGGACTAGTGTGTTTTTATACAAATACAACTCACACTATATGAATTTGCCCTGCCCCCAAGGTACTAATTTCCTTGTGTGCATTATATGTGTGTGCATGTTATTTGCATGGATGTGTTTGTTTTATGTGGGAGAAAGATACAGTGATTGTTTGGGAGAATTGGTGCTAGAGTAAACTCATAATGCTGCAATGAAACAGTAGAGTAGCCAACTTGGTCTAGGTGAGGAACCAGAATTCTTCGCTGTCATGATAAGAAGCCAGAATAACTCATCTACACCTCCTAGTAAGAACACCTAACTTATTTGTATACAGAGTCTTGTGAGAGGGTTTGTCATTCCATTTAATATTGAATCTGTATAGGGAAGATAACTTTTTCCTACGAAAGAGAAACACAGATCTCACTGATATGTTCCTCTTGGCTCCCCACTGTGTTATCCCTGACTTAAAATTTTTGAGTACCTCACCACATAAAATTTATACTGATAAAAAAATTGTTGACTCACACAGGTAAATATCTTTCTTTGGTACTTATCAGTTATATTCTTGAATTCTTTTGTGGCTTTTTTTGAACCCATGACAAATCCTGAATGAAAATAACTTATTTTCTGAATGCTAATATTTTGAGACTCACTGTATTTTAATTTTGAAAAATTTCAAATACAGGAGAATAGCAGAGATAACAGTATATGACAACTCCCTGTCCCTGATGTGCTCATCATCCAGCTTTAACACAGTTTTTTCCTTTTATTTTCTAAATTGTTTTTTATTTAAATTGTAGACATGACATTTCACATCTAAATATTTCAGTATGTGTCTCTAAAACATAAAAGACACAGTACATTTATCATAACCTAATAGAAGGAACCATAAATCCTTGTTGTTGTTGTTGTTATGTGCCGTCGAGTCAAACCCGACTCATAGCGACCCCTCCTTGGGTTTCCAAGGCAGTATCACTACGGAAGTAGGATTGCCCAACCTTCCTTCCGAGGAGTGGCTGGTGGGTTTGAACTGCCAGCCGTCTGGTTAGCAGGCAAGTGTCTTAGCCACTATGCTACCAGAGCTCCCCATAAATCCTTAAATCCTTAATATCCTCTAATAGGTTGGCATTTTCAAATTTCCTGAGTTACTCCTAAAACATCAGTGGATCATTATAATTAATTATGGGAACAGAGTAGTCTAAATAGCATTACTTTTTCTTCATACTTGTGTAAGGACAGTTAATAATTTCAAGGAGCCTGTGGGGATCTTTGACATATTTGCTTAATACAATTCTTAACTTGCTTGGTCTTTAGCTTTTCTGTGAAGCTCTTGATGCCATATCCAAACTGTGTGCGTGTGTGTGTGTGTGTGTGTGTTTCATGTCTATTGATGAGCCTTAGAAAAGAATAAGGGATCCATCCATAATTTGAAAAACAAGAAACTGATGTGCAGAAGTTGCCATTTCCTCAAGGTATAAGATTATGTAGGTGTTACAGAGGTGAGGGTGATGGTATTGGGAAGTCATTAGGATTTTTTAAGAAAAAAGAAGTTTAGTATAACCACTGTGGAAAATCAATCAGTTCTTTCTCTTGAATCTTTATCCCCACTGGCTCCTTCTCCTTCAGAACAGATGTCAACGGTTACTTAAAAAGCCAGCTGCTGTTGAATAGACTCTGAATAATGGCACCCTGTGTATGTCAGAATAGAACTGGGCTCTGTAGGATTTTCCATGATTGATTTTTCAGATCTTAGATCAGCAGGCCTTTCTTCCATGGCGCCTACATCTCTTAAATACATTGGGTTACTAACTCAATAATTTTCTTGATAGGAGATTTAAAAAAAAAAAAAAAAGCCACTGCTATCAAGTTGATTTTGACTCATAGCAACCCCGTTCACACAGAGCAGCTGGTAGATTTGAACCGCCAACCTTCTAGTTAAGTGATCAGATGCCTTAGGCACTGTGCCACTAGAGCTACTTGATAATGAGATAATACACACACATAAATCTTAGCACAGGGTTTGGGCATTCCAAATTGCCTAATAAATGTTGCTGTTATTATTGATGGTGTGTGATAGCTGTGACAATAGAGCTGGCTTGTAGTTTGTAGGAAAAGCCTTTGAGATTGAATGAGATTACTCAGGAAAAACATGCAGAATAAGGACTTAAAATAGCGAGAAAGGCCAGACTTTGTCTCACCTCTTTGGTCATGTTGCCAGAAGGGACTGGTCCCTGGAAAATTATACCATGCTTGGTAGAGGGTCAGTGAAAAAGAGGAAGACCCTTGACAAGATTGATTGACACAGTTATTGCTACAATGGGCTCAAGCATTGTGAGGATGGCACAGGAAAGGGCAGTGTTTCATTCTGTTGTACGTAAGGGTTGCTATGAGTTAGAGCTGACTTGACAGCACCTAGCAATGACAACAGGACCATACTAAAAAACACCAATGCTTATAGATATTGTAGAAAAGAAAAAGTGTTTAAAAAGAGTTAAGCAAATTGAGGGAGTAGGGAATAAAACAGAAAGAAATATTGTCATGCTAATAGTTATTAATTCCCAAAATACATCATACCATTCCATAATTCCTTGTCTTTGCTTCTGCTGTCCTCCTGGTTCCTCTGACAAACCTTTATTCCTTTCAAGGTTTAGCTTATATATCTTCTTACAGCTTTTCCTCATTCGACAGAATTTTTTTATTTCCTTGTCTGTGTTTTCAGAGCATATATCACTAGGCAGTGGTTCTAAATAGGTTTCAGACCCCTTTTAAAACAAGGACAAAACCCATGAATGCTCTTCCCAGAAAAACACACATTGTACTCTTTTGTACATAATTGAAGATGCCTGGGTTCCCTAGAAGGAGCTCTGGTGGTATAGTAGTTAAAGCATATTGGGCTGCTAACCACTCCTCGGAAGGAAGATGGGGCAGTCTACTTCCTTAGTGATACCGTCTTGGAAACCCAAGGAGGGGTCGCTATGAGTCGGGTCTGACTTGACGGCACATAACAATAACAACGACAACCAAAAGGTCAGCAGTTAGAACCCACCAGCCACTCCACAGAAGAACAATGAGGCAGTCTGCTTCCCTAGAGATTTACAGCCTCAGAAACCGTGGAGCAGTTTACTCTGTACTGTAGGGTCAGTGTGAGTCAGAATCGACTTAATAGCGGTGGGTTTTGGTTTGAGTTCCCCGAGGTGTATTCCATGGGCCCCAGATTAAGAACCTCTGACTTTTGTTTGTTATACTTTTAAGAATTATTTCAACTTCACTTGTTTATTTTTTCTGTAGACATTTCTAATATATGCTTAAAGTTTAAAATTTTCAATTTCCATACTTAAGAACAGTTGAAAATAATTCCAGTGAAAGAATAATACAAATAACTGTTTTGTCTGTGTAACTGAAAATAGAAAATTTTTTTTTTTTTAATTGTGATTTGGGTGAAAGTTTGCAGAGCAAATTCACTTTTCATACAGCAGTCCACACACATTGTCTCATGACATTGACTACAATTTACCCCAGTGCAACAGCTCCCCTCCCACTTCCTCTCAATAGTTACCTCTTCCCTGTGTCGATCCCTCCATGCGCTCCTGTCCCCTGAACTGTCTCCCTGTGCATAAATAGCCCTTCTTTGTCCCATGATTGTTCTCTCCAAGGAGTGTATCTACCTCAGGTACATGTTCAACTCATATGCCTGTCTTTTGTTTGCCTGGAAACCATACGTGTGGGTTTAATTCCAGACCTGAAAGGCAGCTAAGCACCATAGTCTCAGTGGTTCTACCAGGTTCTATCAGACCAGCAAACCTGGTCTCACCCCCTCTCCCCCCTCAAATGATTTTGAGTTTTGTTCTGCATTGTTCTCCCTCTCTATCCAGGATCTCCTCCGTAGATCCCATTTGAGTGGTTGACAGTGGTAGCCGGGCACCATCTAGTTCTTCTGGTCTCATAGTCGTATAGGCTGAGGATTGCATGGTGGACCAGTCGTGAGAAGTAATTGTTTCCATGAATCTTTGGTTTTCTTCATTCTTCTTTGCTCTGGATGAGAAAAGACCCATCATTGCTTCTAGATGACTGCTTTTGCAAGCTTTTAAGATCCCAGTCACGACTCGCCAAAGTAGGAGGCGGAACAATGTTTTGTGTAGTATGTTTTGCCAATTGAGCTTGATGTCCCTGAGCAGTTAAACATTTTAACCAAAAGTTTAGAACTGCGATCTCAAAAACTTGACAAAATGGCCAAATTCAGAGTTTTATTATGTTAAATTTGTTAATATTAAAAAATATATATGATAACTCTTATAATAAGGCAAGAATTTCTATTCATGATTTTTGGTCTTTTGAGGGCAGAGTGTTACTTATTGTACTTTAATACATTTGTTGAATTATTCATAGGAGATAACTATTGCCTGAACTTGAGCAGAGGAATGAAGTAAAGCAGTATTGTTTTAAAAGAATTTGTTTGACAATGGCTTATAAAGAATAGATACTGTATAGGTTTATGGGAGAGATAGGAGATATTGAAAACCAGGTGACTCTCAGTAGGAAGTAATATGGGCTTCTACCAAGTTTTTGTCTGTGAGAGTGGAGAAATGACAATTTCTAGAGGTATTTTGGACAAAATGGTAACAACACAGGATTTGGAGGTCAGGTAGTGCTTTAAGTTTTAAGCTCAGGAGATGAGAAGGGAAACAATGGGAAGCAGGAGGATGCTGAATTAAGTTAGAGTTAATGGTGGAGTATCCAATTAAAAATGTTTTGTATGTACTTCAAAATCTAGAAGTGGCATTTTTGATTATCAGCAACAGAGGTGTTAAGATGGAGCCATCTTAAAGAGAGAATAGAAGGAACGTAATGATACACTACTTATTGAAAATGAATGTTTTGAGTCAGAGGAAATAAAGACAGAGTCAACAGGAATTTAGTCTTATTTTCAGGTGTATTTATTGATTATTTTTCTTCTTACAGCCAAGTGCAAGATCTGTGAGTGGGCATTTGAGAGTGAGCCACTATTTCTCCAGCATATGAAGGATACTCATAAGCCTGGAGAGATGCCTTATGTTTGCCAGGTATTGCCTTTTCTCCAGGGAGCTTTAGCCATTTTTTTCTCAGGTTGAATACAAAGAATTACCTAATCATCATTGCTCAAAGCCTCTACAGTATACAGTCAGTTTTAGCAACCTCTTAAGAAGGTATAGAAGAATTAGTAAACAGTTTCTGTCCACAGGATGTTTCCATGTAGGGAAAAAAACATAAAAGAACATATCCAGCCAGGGCACATACGCATACATTAAGGGGAAGATTGAAATTAAACTTGTTCTTTGTAGGTGGACAGAGAAAACTTTACTCTTAATCATGGTATATATGGATTGCATTCAGACTTCCCTGTCCTTCCACATCTTTAAGTCACAGCTGGGATTATCACAAACATAGCCCTAAATTACAAAGTCAGGAAAACAAATTGTTTTCTATACATTGTAGGAAAGCTTTTTTGTTTTCATATTTTACTATTTTTGTTGCTACTTCTTTTTAAAGGCCTTGGTTGGTTAGCTCACTCTCAGCCTTTCTTCCCTCTTATGTGACTCAGGTGTGTCAGTATCGCTCCTCACTCTACTCTGAGGTTGATGTTCATTTTCGGATGATCCATGAGGATACCAGGCATCTGCTCTGCCCTTATTGTCTGAAGGTCTTCAAAAATGGCAATGCATTCCAGCAACATTACATGAGACACCAGGTACCAGGCACCAGGCACCAAGCAGCACCCAAAATCTTTTTTTTTTTTAATGAATGCTGGGGCCAGGAATGAGCTAGGCCAAAGAAGATAATACACATTTGTTTGCAAAAATTTATTAGGTTTCTATTACATGCCACACACTGTGCTAGGTGCTGGAGATTTAGTGGTAAACAAGAGAGCTAAACAGCATAAAAAGTACTGTGTGAGTGGAAGGACAGTATCTACAAAAGTATCTCCTTAATCTGGGAGCCTAATAACTCAGCCTGATAAGCTAATAAGGCTTCTCAGAAGAAGTGGCTTTTAAGACCAGAAGGATGGGTAAGAATGAGCCCCCAGGGTATGGAGGAGGGTCAAGAAATTGAAAGACATTCAATGTGGTTGGATGGAGAGTAGGGTATGAGGAGGAGGTTGGAAGGAGGATCCTGTAAGCCATGAAAAGGACTTTCAACTTTGTAAGTCATTGGGAAGCCATTAAAGAGGTTCTTAAGTCCAGGACTAATGTGTTCAAACTTGCATTTAGTTAAGATGATACTGGCTGCACTGAGGAGAATGTATTGAAGTAGAGTAAGATGATAATTAGGGAGACTAGAGTTCTGGTTACCTAGTACTGCTCTGACAGGAATATACCACAAAATGGGGTGGCTTGAACAAACAGGAGTTTATTCTTTTACAGTTTGGAGACTTTAAGTCCTAGTTCAAAGTACCAGGCTCTGGGGGCTGGGTGAAAGCCCCTCAAGCTTGGGCTTCAGCTCTCCTGTTCCTGGCCCACTGAAGCTGGAGGCTTTTCTTCACTTAGACAGCTGCTGGCTGCTAAGGCTGACAAGCCCAAGGTTGACAGGTAAAAAGGCACAGTCCTGATAATACCAAACCACGCAGCAGGCCATTAATTCAAGTCCATTGAAAGTCTCAAGGTTGGCAGAACATGGCAGGCCGCTGAACAACAATGTGGCTACATGCAGGGTTCAAGCATGCCGTAAGCTAGCGACCGTTCCCCTAGCTTCTCCTCATACACAGGAAGCAGACCACAACCCTAAGACAGCTACTCAGCTGCTCACAGTAGATTCCATCATGGAGTTGATTACCAGTCTCATCATGGGGAATACTACATCCAGCTGCCCAGCCACTCAGCCAGGCCCAGCCACATTGACACATAAACTGAACTACCACAACTAGCCCAAAGACATTTTCATTGTTGAGGTGAGAGATGAGAGTGGATGAGACTGTTGGCTTTTGAAATGAAAAAAAAAACAAGAGTTGAGAGAGACTGAGAAGATAAATGGTATTTATGGTTTAGGGATGGATTAGGTGAACTGGCAAGGCAGTAGTTAGGAATAGTGCTTTAGATTCTATCTTGGGAAATTAGATGGCTTATAGAGACTATTTACTGACGTAGAAACACTAGAGAATGTAAACTTTGGAGGGAAGACTGTGAGTTTGGTTAATCTGAGTTTGTAGTATCTGTAGACATCAAATACAGGTGCCTAATAAATTAGTTGGGTATATAATTCTGAAGCCTGGGAGAGAAGTCTGGATTGGAAAAAAATATACTTACAAGTCATTATTATATAAATCCAGTGAATTTTAAACTTTGAAGTGTCATGGATTCCCCATCCACCTTTGAGAATAAGATAAAGGCTTATGATCCTTGAAGTCTCTATTTCCATAGTCCTAGGAGGGGGAACAGAAGAGTCTTGGCTTTAAAGAAGTTAAGGGGAAGAAAGTGTTTTTGAAGAAAAAGGTATGATCAAAATGTCACATGTTGCAGGAAGGTCAAGCAAGATAGGAACTTAGAGGCAGAAGTTTAATTTTAGCAACATTGATGAGAGCTGTTTTGTTAGGGAAAGAAGTCATTTTCAGTGGGATCAATGAATGAGATGTAAGAAAATGGAGACAACTTACTTGAAGAAATTTGTTTATGAAGGGGAGGACAAGGGTGGTAGATAGAAGGGAAGACAGAGCGAAGAGGAATTTTTGTGACTGCTTTTGTTATATTTCATTTTTAAGGTGGGATAGATAGATTTTTGTTTTAAAATGCTACAAGAGGGAGAGGGCATTGGTAATTCAATGGTAGAATTCTCGCCTTGTACGCGGGAGACCCGGCCAATGCATCACCTTTGAGAGCTCTGGTAGTGTAGTGCCTAAGGCACTTGACTGCTAACTATTAGACTGGTGGTTCAAACCCACCAGCCACTCCTCGGAAGGAAGATGGGGCATTCTACTTCTGTATTGATACCGCTTTAGAAACCTAAGGAGGGGTCGCTATGAGTCGGGGCCGACTCGATGGCACATAATAACAACAACAAGAGGAGTTTATAGAAAAGGAAAGTGAAGATACACGTTAAGGGAGCATATAAAATGGAGAACAAGACAGCAGTGCCTATGTTTGATGTTCACATGTGTGCACACACAGGCACCTCCTTACACTGATAATCTACCACAAATGTATTTCCAGATAGAGGCATAGATGTGTCACTTATAACTAAGGCTACGTAACCTTTCTATCTTAGAGAAGAATGTCACAGTATGGTCCTTATTTTTGAATGACCAACACTAGGCAGACTGAATCCTCAAAATTGTGTCATAGGGAGGTGCATCTGTGTGTACTGATGTGTTGAGGCAAAACAGCAAAGTGCAGAGAAGTACTGTTACTTTTTTTTTTTTTTTTTTAAGGAAAAAAACCAAGAACAGGTAGGTGGTGACTGGATATGTATAAAACATGTGCTTATTGAATATATAGACTGTGGAAGGATACCCAAGAAACCATTAACATACTGTTTCTGTGGAAGGGACTGAAGGTTGAGAGTTGAAGACAAACTTAGAACATAAGAATACAGAATAAAAATTGATTTTTTTTAAACCATGTATGCATTATTACTTAGAAAAATGATAATAATAAATGTCCAGGAGTAGGTAGCACTGTCTGCAATATAAAGATAAAGTAGGGGCAAGTAGAGCTTATGTTGTGCATCTCGAGTGTCAGAGCACACCAGGAGGAGATGGTTTGACCTAGTTATCCTGGCCTTGAGTCCACCTTCCTTTGGGAGCATGGGAGATGATGAGTCTCTTAAGCTATCAACAGAAAGGTGGGAAGAATGATAAGATTGGCACTGAAAAAAATTCATTGGGTACCTTTATGGCATTCTGTCTCACTTATTTTCCCCTTCAGAAGAGGAATGTTTATCACTGCAACAAATGCCGGCTGCAGTTTCTCTTTGCCAAGGACAAGATTGAACACAAGCTTCAGCACCATAAAACCTTTCGTAAACCCAAACAGCTGGAAGGCTTGAAACCAGGCACCAAGGTAAAGTGTTTGCCAAAGTTTTCTTTACAGATCCAGGAAGAAAGGAATATAAAGATTTTTAGTATTCTGAGGTTTAGTGTCTAATTATACCCCTCTCCTTGATTCACAGGTGACAATCCGGGCTTCTAGAGGGCAGCCACGAACTGTTCCTGTATCTTCCAATGATACACCTGCCAGCGCCTTGCAGGAGTCAGCACCGCTGACCTCTTCAACAGACCCTCTGCCTGTCTTCCTTTATCCCCCTGTCCAGCGCACCATCCAGAAGAGAGCTGTTAGGAAAATGTCAGTGCCTTCTTCTAAACGTGGGGCCGGTGGGGCTGTGTGGGCAAGATTGTTCCTGGTAGTCTCTGCAGTCTGGTAGCAATCTAAAGTCCTTTTGCATTTGGAGATCCTGGAGGCAGGAATGAGAATGTCCCTTTCATCTTGACAGGAGTGCCATGGGCCGCCAGACATGTCTGGAGTGCAGCTTTGAGATCCCAGATTTCCCTAATCACTTCCCCACTTACGTACACTGCTCTCTGTGTCGCTATAGTACCTGCTGCTCTCGAGCCTATGCCAACCACATGATCAAGTAAGTCACATGATTAAACCCATTGTTTTCTACCTGGGTGCTCAAGTTCTCTAGAATTCATTTCATTCCCTCTCCTGTTCCTTTTTTGTTTCCTCCTTCAACTTTCAGAGTCGTTTATCTCACTCACCTATCAGAGTAAGAGACCACACCCATGTTTATTTGGCTTTGATGGTCTGTGCTGTAAGTTGGGTAGGACCTTGCCACTCAGATGTGTTCCAGGCACCCGCATGTTCTCAGGCCTATAGAATCTATGTGCAGTTTAATTGAGCCCCAGGTGATTCATATGCATATTAAAGTTTAGGAAGCGCTCTGGTGGGAAAATTGGCTTGGGCTGGGTGTTAGAATGAGTTGCAGAGATCTCTCTCTTAGGGACATTGGTTGGTGAGCTAAAGTTTAGCTGGCAGAGCCCCTTCACTGATACTATTTCTCCTTTGTCTTTCTCAGCAATCATGTTCCAAGGAAGAGCCCCAAGTATTTGGCTTTGTTTAAAAATTCTGTGAGGTAAGGAAAAGCTTATTGGTGATCTCTTAAATTTTCAGATTTTTACATTAAATCCTTTCAGTTATTTTGTAGTATTGGTCTGTGAATTAATATGAGGGAAAGGAGAAAGAAGGGGCATACTCCTTTATTAAGCTTCAAAGCTCTCTCTAGTGTCACTGCTATATTTGTCTTTTATGTTTCTGATTTTTTTTCTTAGTGGAATCAAACTGGCCTGCACGTCATGTACCTTTGTTACCTCTGTGGGAGATGCCATGGCCAAGCATTTAGTATTCAACCCCTCACACAGATCCAGCAGCATCCTGCCGCGGGGTAAGTAGGAGAGATGGGGGTTAGTAGAACAAGAAAAAAAATAAGGATACAGGATATAGGTCATACTGTATAAGTCAAGAACACCAAATTGAAAGCGTTCTAACCTGAAGAGTATATAAACTAGAAGGTGAGTGAATGTAAGGGGTCTATTTTTGTGTAGTAGGTTTGTCTTTTTGCTTGAAATCCTAGGACACTATTTACGTTTCTTCATTGAACTAACTTTTTTTTTTTTTGGTCTCATTTTCCATAGGACTTACTTGGATAGCTCACTCAAGGTAACAAAAACTCTGACTCCATGGTTTCATTTCTGTTTTGCTGTGTGTTTTGTCTTTATTGTTACTATTATTTTTCTAATTTAATTGAGTTTTCTCCTCTTCTCTGTGCTCTTAACCCCCTTTTAGGCATAGCCAGACCCGTGACCGAACACATGACCGGAACTTGAAGAATATGTACCCACCTCCTTCCTTCCCTCCCAACAAAGCTGCCACTGTGAAATCTACGGGGACCACCCCAGCTGAGCCTGAAGAGCTCCCAGCTGCCAAGGCCCAGGCACTCCCATCACCAGCTTCAACTGCAACCCCACCACCCACCCCCACTCACCCTCAGCCTTTAGCCCTTCCCCCTTTGACTACAGAGGAGACTGGATGTCTGAATGTTGATGACCAGGATGGAGGGAGCCCAGTCACCCAGGAACCTGAGCCAGCATCAGGTGGGGGTAGCAGCAGTGGAGTTGGTAAGAAGGAGCAGCTGTCTGTGAAGAAGCTTCGAGTAGTACTGTTCGCCCTATGCTGCAATACAGAACAGGCAGCTGAACACTTCCGAAACCCCCAGCGACGAATTCGGCGTTGGCTTCGGCGCTTCCAGGCCTCCCAGGGAGAGAATCTAGAAGGCAAATATTTGAGCTTAGAAGCAGAAGAGAAACTGGCTGAGTGGGTGCTGACTCAACGTGAGCAGCAGCTACCTGTAAATGAGGAGACCTTGTTTCAGAAGGCCACCAAAATAGGACGTTCTTTGGAGGGGGGTTTTAAGATCTCCTATGAGTGGGCTGTGCGATTCATGCTACGGCACCACCTGACTCCCCATGCCCGGCGAGCTGTGGCCCACACCCTACCCAAGGATGTGGCTGAGAACGCAGGACTCTTCATTGAATTTGTGCAGCGGCAGATTCACAACCAGGACTTACCCTTGTCTATGATTGTGGCTGTTGACGAGATCTCTTTGTTCCTGGATACAGAAGTGCTGAGCAGTGATGACCGAAAGGAGAATGCCCTGCAGACAGTGGGCACGGGGGAGCCTTGGTGTGACGTGGTGCTGGCCATCCTGGCAGATGGCACTGTCCTCCCCACCCTGGTTTTCTACCGAGGGCAAATAGATCAGCCTGCTAACGTGCCCAACTCTATATTGCTAGAGGCAAAGGAGAGTGGCTACAGTGATGATGAGATCATGGAGCTTTGGTCAACCCGAGTGTGGCAGAAGCACACAGCTTGCCAGCACAGTAAAGGAATGCTTGTGATGGACTGTCATCGCAATCACTTGTCAGAAGAGGTACTGACTATGCTTAGTGCCTCTAGCACTTTGCCTGCAGTGGTCCCAGCAGGCTGTAGCTCCAAAATCCAGCCATTAGATGTATGTATCAAACGAACTGTCAAGAACTTCCTACATAAAAAGTGGAAGGAGCAGGCTCGGGAAATGGCAGATACTGCATGTGATTCTGATGTCCTGCTTCAGCTGGTGCTGGTCTGGCTGGGTGAAGTGCTGGGCGTCATTGGGGACTGTCCAGAGCTAGTTCAGCGGTCCTTCCTTGTGGCTAGTGTTCTTCCTGGCCCTGATGGTAACATTAACTCACCTACAAGAAATGCTGACATGCAGGAGGAGCTAATTGCTTCCCTAGAGGAGCAACTGAAGCTGAGTGGGGAACAGTCTGAGGAGCCCTCTGCTTCCACTCCCCGACCGAGATCATCTCCTGAAGAGACAATTGAGCCAGAAAGCCTTCACCAGCTCTTTGAGGGTGAAAGTGAAACCGAGTCTTTCTATGGCTTTGAAGAAGCTGACCTAGATCTGATGGAGATCTGAGTGCTGGGCTGGGAGGGGGTGTGGCGTTGGGGTAGGAATGTGTGGGAGAGGGTAGAGGGATTTAGGGAAAAGGAAGTATACCAGGGTGGGGTATTTGATTTATATTTTTAAATTTTATGCCACCACTCCGCTGATGTTGACTTATTCTTCTCTGTGGATTTGTGTACTATTAGAAAAACTGGTAGTAATACGTCTGAGCTGAGGAGCTGGCCCACTTATGCTAAAAACAGGTTTTTGTGACTTTAAAAAAAAAAAAAAAATCAAATCACTGTGTTTGGTATTTTTCTGACAAAATCAAGAAGAAAAAAATCCTTCGTGGGTGAATGTTAAAAGTTTTGAGTTTCCCCTCTTACCTCAATTGTATCATAGTACTTCCGAGTTTTTTGTTTTACTGTGTGGCCAATGTCTTTGGGCATGATGCTATCTAACCATTGTCAATGTGAGAACATTTCTGAAGACGGGAAAGACAAATATGTAGCTCATAAACTGGTTTATTATATATATATATATATATATATATATATATGGGTAAAAAAAATTCATTGTGGTCTTAACACTTTTATATAAAAATGAAAATGGAAAAAAAATCCCACTGAACTTTCTTTTCCTTCTCCTTTTCTTTCCTTCCCTCTCCAGAGATGTTGGTTTCTGCAACAACTCTAGATATAAAATTGTTGGCTTTAAAAATGCATGAAATCACCTTTAATCATCCAGAATGATGAGTAGATTCATCTTTCCTCACCACTCTCCTCCCTCCCAACACAACATAACCTTTGACCCCTTGTCCCTTCCCCCATTCTCTCACCATCGCTCTGGACAAAGGATCATACCTGTGTCAGTCATTAGCAAGAAAGAGTATTGAAGGGATCAGTGTTAGGGTGAAAGCCATTTCCAACTTAAATGGGTCTTCATCCTGCAAGCTCCCAGGGATAATCCCTACTTCGTTGAACTTTACCCTGTTCAGGGGACAAAAGATCACATGTCCTACAGCCAGGAGCTAATTGTGCAAGAGGTCAAGTGTTGAACTTTAAAAAGACAAACTACTTGTTGAAGTCCTGCTTTTACCCTGTGGCTTTCCTATATTCCTCTTGGCGCTTAGAGGAGAATCTCATATGAAGAAACACACTGGGGTGTGCATAGAGAAAGACATGAATCTTTATTTTTCACTGCCAGCTTCAAGGAAAGAAAATTTTTTCTACAATTTGCATGTAAGGGATTTTTTTAAATTGTATGTACTTACGGTTATGAACTGAAATGTACTGTAACATACAGAGAAAAGGAGCAAAAAACGAAGGCCACCTTTCCCATGGCTATACCACTCTTCTGTCCATCCTGAAGCTTTCAGCGTTTCCCTCCTGTGAGCCAAGGAAAGGCAACCTACATAGGCTTGTAAATTGTTCATCTTTAAAATGTACGTAAGTGGAACATTTAATAAAATGAGGGGAAATGGATTTATAAACAATGTTTTTTCCTAGGTGACCCTGTTTAATAGGCTTTCACAGACTGGGGGATGTTCAAGATGTGATGGGCCTAGTGGTACAGGTGTGATATTTGTTATCACTTGTTCCCCCACCACCCTGCCCTTTTTTTTTTTCAATGCCCAGCACACTATAATATAGTGAACTGGAGTGATCGCTCCCAGAAACAGCTTGGTCAGCTTTGTGTGAATCCATGGCATCTGAAAACTGAACCGAGGATCAATCTGGGCTTTTCCCCAGTTTTTTGCCTGATGCCATAAGGACTTTCAAGTCAACCCTTTGCCTTTGAGGAAGTTCAAGAACTATTGCTTGGTCAACTCCATCAACAAAGGACCTAATCACTCTGGTAGTCTCCACAGCCTTAGCAGAGCTGGGTTCCTGGCCTCTGCACACTGTATGACTTTCTTGTGGGTGGGTAATTTTTTTACAGACCATAATACCAACAGTGGATCAGCTGGGTTTTGGCCAGAAGTTACCTTTGTGGACTCTGCCTGCATGGCTTAGTAGTAGAAGGAAGTTTTTTTGTTTTGTTTTTTTTTTATAATTCAGTTTAATCAATAAACCAAGTATTTATTGACTACTTTCTGTGTTGAGACTAAATGTACAGATACAAACTAAAAACTCATGGTTTCCTCTGCTTAATGTTTTGTTTTGTTCTAATCATGGGTGAGGGATGTTTTGGTTTCTCCTTCAGCACTCTTACCTTACTGAATTTCTATTAAGTTTTTGGGTTTGCTCTCTATACCAGTTTCTCAGAGGACTGGAGATAATACACACCAAAATCACCTAGGATTTTCATTTTTAAAATTCAGGGTTAGTACCATTACGGACATGGAACAGATTGACTCAACAGCCCTGTATGTATCATGCCAACTGACTGATACCTACTGCACTTAAGACTTTTTAATGAACATAAAGTACTGCTCAGTAAGAGGTTTTCTGGCATTGCTGAAAACTTCAATCAATTTGGGTGACATACAGGTAAATGTTTAAATAACTTGCTATTCCCTGTATGAAGGGTGAGGGATTGAGGCTGCCGGTTCCAGCTTGGGGGTGGGGCGGGGAGTGGTAACTTTATCCAGAATAAGTCTACTAGATGCTGCATTTCTGTCTTGGAAATGCTGCTTTAACTAAAATCACATTTACAGCCAACATTAACCAGGAAACTTTTTTTTTTAAGTCTAGTGCAGTGGGGAAAATTTTTATTTTTAAATCTTAAAACACAAAAGCCAGTTACCACTCAAAGATTAAGCCTGGTATCTAGACAAAGCTGTGTCTATAGCAGGCCCAAATGAAGACAGAAGCGGGTCTTCTGTATCGCCTTGCACAGACTTCTGCATTTGCTCTGAGAAAAGACCCAAAGGGTTCTCGAACCAGAGGAAATGATGTAAGACAATACTCTGCAGTTTCATTCTTGGTGTGACCCAGTCAGACAGAATGAAACCATTCAGCAAGTGTTTCGAAGGATTTATTTTACAAAAGAAAATCTACTTCACAACCAGCCAAGTTCAAAGTTAAAAGAAGGGCACAACTTCAGTTCTGGATAATGCATCTGTATTCATTCAAAGCCACTGAAAAGGAAGAGACCAGTAATACAATGGTGAAGCCACAGAAAGGGAGGGAACCCTTGCCACCCAGAGGATTTTTCTGGTTGAGACCTCCAGAAAACCTCAGCTTACAGCATCTTAGGTGTCTTTCAACTCTTCATCACCTATTTTTTCTACTGTAATTTTCATTTCAATTACCTGATCATGTGGGCAATATCCCAGTTGGTCTCAGCAGACAGGGGTCCCTCTATTTCAACACCTTTTTCTGTTACAGTAGCAATTTGAAACTGAAAGAAAGCAAAGCATTCAATGAAAATGCCCCATCCCCACGAGGCAAGTCTCGAGCCTGGTGAAAAATCAAGTAGAGTGTCTTCCCCTCGGCTAAGGGGAGGAGACAGAGATGTGAAGCAATCTGTTCTTCAAAGCTAGAGACCCAGGGGAACTGCAAATATCCACAACCACCATCTTTATTCCTCACCCGATTATAAGAACGAGCATCTCGATAGTACAGCACTCGCATACAACGTTCCACTAGTTCTCGGGCCTCAGTCTGACTCAGCACTGGCTGCTTCTCCAGAACGTCTCGCAACAGAGGCTAGGAAGATTGGGGAAAACACAGAGGCTATATTGGGGGTTTGTCTCAAACCCACAGTGTAAAAAGGGAGCACAAATGAGTGAAAGATGACAGTCCACCTACTGCCTCACCAAAATTAATGGCCTGCTTGTTTTATGACCCACTTCAAAAAGTCCTAGGGTGTCTTTTCTTTCTACAAGTATACCGATTCATTTATACACCACCCTGTCACTGGAATAACCAAGTAATGTACACCTTTGGGACTACAACAGATGGTTTCATCTGCTCAGCAACAGGGATGCTAGCCTGCTCCTCATGTCAGAATTTCAGAACCACCACCAACCACAAACCCCCAATATCTTTGTTCTCCTCTCAATCCCACTTCTCAGACTGACTACTTACCTGAGCCAAGTATGCACCATAACCAGTAGCCAGCGAAGGAGCTTCATAGGCTACACCAAGCATATCCACATAACCTAGGAAGCTAATAGGGCATAATGGGTCAAAAAACTCATTTCATCTTACATTACTGCATCTTAGCTGAAAAATGAGACCATAGGGTCTGAGTTAAAAGTAGAATTCACTTTGGGGTCATAGAAGAGACACTACACAGGGACTAGTTGGGCAGTCAAACAAGTTATTTGCACTCAACCTGTCTCCATCAGCATAGCCTCCAATGACCATGGTGTTCCAGAGAGGGTTCATCTTGGAGCGGCGGCTGTACATGGCCCTGGTCAGCCACGAATGAATAGCTCTAGGGCTATAGCTGTGTCCATCTCCCAACAGCTCCTCATCAATCCTTTAAAAAAATTGTTGTCAGAAACGGGAGACAATAAAAGTCTAGATCTCCATCCACTCCCCAAAGAAATTTTCACTATCTTATCCATTTTACACTTTCTAGTGCTTAACATTATTTATTGCACACTCATTCACTTCTTCCACCCCCAACTATTCTCCCTCTCTTTCCCAGCAGCCTCAAGTTCACTCATCTCTTCTAAAGAGAGAAAAATATGTGGATTCCCCTCTCCAATTGGGAACTACTGCCTATTCTCTGCACGACTTACACCATCTGTCCGAGAACTTGCTTCAAATACTGGAAATCAGCGTAGTCTCCAGAGGCACCCAGCATGGTGCTGTTGTTAACCCGCATAATGCGAGAGATGTTGCGGAAACGAGCCAAGGAGCCGTAAGAACCCAGCATGTCTGCAGCAATTACCACTCCGCCTTCGAATTTAACACCGAGAACCGAGGTCCCAGTCACCATGGGGTTCCTGACATAGAAAAGTCTGGCGTGAGGCGGCGTGGAGAAAGAGCCTGCACCCACCAGATCCCGCACACCGGGTTCCGCTTCTAGTTTTCCGTGTCTCTTTCCAATTATTCCGTATTCTCCGGGACTCTGCGCCGAGGATTCCCCTACCGTTCGCACGCTCCCTTGTCATCCCTTCACCTACCCTGGCTCGTTCAAAACCGGCCGACGGCACCAGGCCCCACTTCCCCTAGGCAACCTAAGGCGCCAAGAACTTACTGCGTCCGCGTAATCGGGCCCGCGTAGGATGCCGGATTCACGAAGGAACTGGGAGTGGGCAGGATGCGATGAAACTGCCCCGGAGCCGGACCCCCGACCCAAAAACTGGACCGCAACTCCAACGACGCTTCCATCTTAGTCACGATAAGCAAAGGAAATGACAGCATTTGCGCAGACGGAAGCGGAAGTGGTTCTCTTATGACACACCTTTCTTCTTCCTGCATGCCACCTCCAGCCGCCATGTTGGTGAGGTCTTCGCTGCACATAAATATTTCCGGATGGTGGCAGCTTTCGAGGATTGTAATTGTCCGACGTCAAACTATCTAGTCAGTGATAAAGTTTGGGCTAGATCATATTATTCTGACACGCAGATTCAAGGGGAAGGTGGTACAGGGAGTGATTAAAACCCTAATCCTGAGTTCTCACTATCAAAAAACTAGGAGGCAGAAATTCTCATGGCCTTTTTCGGATCATTATTTAAAAAACACTGCATGAAAATAATGGTGAAGCCAAGTGCTCCTACATTTGTACTCCTCAAAGCAATCCCAAACAGTAGGCATTGACCTACCCATTTTACAAACAAGAAACCAAGACTTGTGGTTTAGTGATTTATCTGGCCATGCAACCAGAAATGGTAGAAGTGAGTTTTCAAATCCAGAATGAAAAAGGAATCTCACAGTTGTGTATACGCCACGGTGTAGGAACACTTGCTTTCTGTGGCATCCTGAACAAGTCTCTGAAGGTTCCTTTATTATTAAATGCCGTTGCACACCTCTAAACAGTAGGAAACTCCACTGGGATTGTGGAACTGAAACGAAATTGTGGAGCTTCCCTTCTCAATGTGATTCTAGCAGGGGTTGGAAGAGGCAGTGTCTGAATCAAACCAGTGAGCCTCAAACCAAATAAACTGCCCTTCTTTGCCACTTCTCCCTACACAACTTGATTTTAATTTCTTTTCACTCAGAAACCAAACCAAATTTGTTTTAAAAATTCACTGAACTAATCAGAGCCAAAGCAAAGCATGAAAATTTAAACTTAATTTAAAAAACAAAATATTTCATTAAGTAATGAAACTCTAGGAAGGGAAAGGTCAGGATCTTATTGTGTGTGAGGTGACAAGGAGCATTTTTCCAACTTCACAATCAAGGCACTTGGCATGTCTGAGGCTTCTAAAACGTAGGGCTGACTCCATTGTGTTAATTTGACTATTTCTCAGAAGTCACTTCTGCTTTGCAATTCTCAGAAATTTTGCTAACTAGGTCAAAATTTGCTACCTAGGTCTAGCTCCTATTGTCCAGGACTTACTTGCTAAAGGTTTAATTATCCCCTGAAGCACTCCAGTGCCCCCAGATAAGAAGTCCAATAATAGAGGCTGGAGATTTGTTCAATACTTACAGGCCATTAACCATGTAGTTATCCCTAGATTCTCAATAGTCCCACATCCTCATCTATTGCTTTCCAATTTCCCTCCAGACACTACACATTTTACTATTACTGACCTTTATGGCACCTTTTTCAGACTCCCTGTCCATGCAGAAAGCTAGTATTTGTTTGCCTTTCTTGGGAAAAATCAACAGTTTACTTGGACAGTAATGCCAAAGAGTCTCCCACTTATTTTTCTCAAATTCTCCATTCTGATCTACAGACTTTGCAATTTAACAATGAGGCCAAGCTACTAAATATGGTGGTAATTTATTAACATTCTACCTCTCACCAGATTTACATTGAAGACAGTATAATTTTACTGCAACATTTAATTTTACTGGACTTAAAACTTCTAAAGAAAAATTGTCATTGGCTCAATCTTTTGTTAAATATCTAGGACATGAAATCTCTGCAGAAAGGATCTTTTTTGACCCTAAACAAAAGGAAACTATTTTTTCTTATTGCATTCCTAAAACCAAGAAACAATTATGGGGATTGTATGGCTCTGCAGTTATTGCAGAACTTGTATTCCTACCTTTTCTTTATTGGCTCAGCCTTTACATAAATATTTAAAAATCTCTAAGCCAGATCCCTTTCAAATCACTCCAGAAGACAAAAAATGTTTTAATCAAATTGAAGGCAGCCTTGTAAGAAACACCTACACCAGGTTTCCCTTATTATGATTTAGATTTTTCTCTGTTTGTTCATGAAGTTTCTAGAAATGCTTTAGACATTTGTTCTGGTTACCTAGTGCTGCTCTGACGAGAATACACCATAAACGTGATGGCCTTAACAAGCAGGAGTTTATTCTTACCATTTGGAGGCTTTAAGTCTGAGTTCAAAGTGCCAGGCTCTAGGGGCTGGGTGAAAGCCCCTCAACTTAGGGCTTCAGCTCTGCCTTCTGCTCCCGGCCCACTAAAGCTGGAGGCTTTTTTTCACTCAGACAGCTGCTGGCTGCTGAGACTGACAAATCCAAGGTTGACAAGTAATAAGGCACAGTCCCAATGTTACCAAACCACACTGCAGGCCATTAATTCAAGTCCATTAAAGGTCCCAAGGTCAGCAGAACATGGCAGGCTGCTGAACAGCGGCATGGCTACATGTCGTTCAAGTGTGCCATAAGCTAGAGACCATTCCTAAAGCTGTTTCTTATTTACAGGAAGCAGACCACATACCCAAAGCAACTACTCATCTGCTCCAATAGATTCCACCATGCAGTTGATTGCCAGTCTCATCATGGGGAGTAACCATCACCAGCTTCCCAGCCACTCAACCAGACCCAACAAAGCTGACATACAACTTTAACTACAATAGCATTCTAACTCAAAAACATGGAGGAATTCAAAGACCAGTAGGCTATTACAGCCTGAAACTTGATCCTGTGGCAAAGTGATAGCCTCTCTGCCTTAAAGCTGTTGCAAACACAGCCAAGTTAGTTGAAAACACTGCAGATACAATGTTGGGAAGTTATTTTTAGATGTTTACATTCCTCATGCAGGATCTGCTATACTCAATTCTACTCTGACAGCATCCTTCTATCAGTCTATTCACCTCTTACAAGGTCCTCTTTTGGGCTGCTTCCAGTATTAGACTGCACACCATGACTTGCTTAAATCCAACCACATTACTTTCTAAAGCTCCTAAGGAAAATAATCGTGCTCATGATTGCTTAGATTTAACTGAACAACTTCTGACTCCTTGGAAGGACCCTAAAGAAACTCTTTTAACTAATCCTGATTTTGTTTTTATTTGTGGACAGCTCTTATTTAAACCCTAATCCTGTGAGCTCTAATGATCAGGCTGAATATGCCACCACAACCTCTACTGAGGTCCTTGAAAATCAGGTTCTTTCTAAAGCTACTTCATCCCAACAAGCTGAACTAAGTGCACTCATCAGGGCTTATAAATTGACATCAGGAAAATCTGTGAGTATTTATAAGGATTTAAGATACTGTTTTGGAGTTGTTTGTGATTTTGGTATACTTTGGAAACAGCAAGGATTTTTAACCTCCTCTGGGTAAGCTATCAAGAATGGAACATTAGTAGCAGATCTTTTGGATACATTATTGCTTTCCTCTGAAATATTAGTGATTAAAATACAAGGTCACCAACCTATGACCTAGCTGCTAAACAGGCACCCTAATGTTGGCAAATTCTTTAAACACTATTAAGGACCACCTTAACCTTCATGCTACTCTAGAGCTACTTTGTAGGCACCAACAGTGTGGTAGCTAAGTTTGTGTGTCAACTTGGCTTGGCCTGGTTGAGTGGCTGGGCAGTTGGAAGCAGTTATTCCCCATGGTAAGATTGGTAATTAACTCCATGGTGGAATATATTGGAGCAGCTGAGTAGCTGCTGTAGGGATGTGGTCTGCTTCCCGTCTATAAGAAGCAGCTTTGAGAATAGTCTCTAGCTTATGGCACACTTGAACCCTGCATGTAGCTGTGTCATTGTTCAGCAGACTGCCATGCTCTGCTGACTTTGGTACTTTAAATGGACTTGAATTAATGGCCTGCCATGTGGTTTGGTAACATCAAGACTGTGCCTTTTTACTTGTTAACCTTGGGCTTGTCAGTCTCAGCAGCCAGCAGCTGTCTGAGTGAAGAAAAGCCTCTAGCTCCAGTGGGCCGGGAGCAGGAGGCAGACCTGAAGCCCAAGGTTGAGGGACTTTCACCCAGCCCCTAGAGCTTGGCACTTTGAACTCAGACATAAAGCCTCCATACTGTAAGAGAATAAACTCTTGTTTGTTAAAGCCATCCCATTTGTGATACTTGGAGCTGTGTGTCAACTTGGCTGGACTACAATTCTGTGTGGTTTAAGCAGTTGTGATGTGGTTATTCCCATGATGGGATCAGATGTGTATGTTTTGAGCTGCCAATCCATTGAAAGGGAGTTTCCCTAGGGGTGTGGTCTGCTTCCAGTATATTTATGGACATCCTGGGAAAAGAGACACTCTTCTGTGGATCAGGATTCTGTTGTGCTGCCTACAACTGTCTGTGAGTGAACAATCTACCATTCGGCCTGGAGATCTTGGATTCGTCATTCGTTGGAGTCAACAGCCAGTGTACTGCCTGCCAAACTTGAGCTCCTCAGCCCCTGCAGCTGTGTGAGTCAGGAAAAGCCTCCAGCTTGACATTTGATCCCAGAACTTTGGACTTGCCAGCTTCTATAAGTGTGTGAGCCATTTTCCTAAAATAAATTTCTCTTTCTCTATATATATAAGCTTTACTGGTTTTGTTTCTCTAGAGAACCCAGTTTAACACACAATTTGTGGTATATTCCTGTCAGAGCAGCACTAGGTATCCAAAACAAAGAGCACCAGCAAATGAAGTTAAAGTTTGGAAAAATGTTTGTTACTAACATGCAGTAAGTAAATTATGGATAAGAGCCAATAACAGAATTGTCTTACCAAAATTTTTACATATCCCTGTAATTTGAAACTTATATAAGCATTCCCCTTAAAAAAAAAAAAAAAAAAAAGACAAGGTAATTAAAGCTGTGAATAAATACTGGTGGGGAGATTTTTCCAAAACTGCCAGTCATATTACTTACATATTACTGCCCCTTGGCATTAATGAGAACAAAAGAAGATTATCCTGATTTGTTCATAAATAATCATAACCTTGGTGAAATAACTTTAGAAAAACTTATGAAATAAATAATAAAACTCACTGCCGTCGAGTCAGATCTGACTTCTAGTCAGAAACCCTCCTTGGGTTTCCAAGGC